AAAAAAAAAAAAAAATTATTCAAGATGGCAGAGAGGTCTTGATCCACTCTGTTAGGGAAATGCCTCTAATAACTTGAGGAAATTAGTCATTTATAGATGCATTTAACATACCAAAACAGGGAACTGATTCACATTTCATGTGGATAAGTTAGGTAAAATTGGTATTCTGAACAGATACTAAGATGATAGAAAAGTGCTTGGGTACTTTTTTGAGTAGTAGGAAAATGGACATCAGGGAACATGTCCTTGTTTCTTATAGGAAGAAAACTGTAGGACAATTACTATTTAAACACTATTCTGTAATCAGGATTTAAAATGTTTGGAGTCACTACTTCTTAAGGGCACTTGGATTTGAGAGCATGGACAATGGCAGCTTGGTGCAGTCATCAGAAGGCATGATTTCGTTTTAAATTTAATTCTGCTTGAGAAATTTAGCCAACTGAAAGAAAAAAAATTGTACCTGAAAAGTATATCAGAACTTTTGTTGCACTAGTGTTACATTAGTTGTACCAGTGTCACATCAGTGCAAATCCAGACAGGTCAATGGACCTTAAAACTAGTAAAACTAGTGGAATTGAGGAGATATTCCAGCTCATTTTTTACTTTTAATGGCAATTTCTTTAGTAAAGTATATATGCATCTTTATAGACTAACTAAATAAGATATATACATGCACACACATATAGAGAGAGAGCACAAGTTTTTGTGGACTTGTGCTTGTCTATGTATTGTACTTAGTTAGTCTACAAAGGTGCATATCTATCTTGCCTTCTGACTGACTTCAGACTAACACAGCTAACTACCTCTTTCAATTTCTGTAGTAGGCAGTGAAATGGAGAGATGTAGAGGAATTATATTTTTCCTAAAGATTGAACAGTTTTGACAAGGTGACATAAGCAGTGTTGTTCTTCTGCAGAGCTGACTGAAAATTTGGAGGAAGTTACACAGAAGCTAAAACAAAGGATTGTCTTTTTGACAAAGACCTATTTAGAGAACCGTAATATACAAATTACTTGTGAGCAATTTTTAATATGCATTGGTAAAGAAAAACCAAACAGATAAAAGTAGTTAGCAATGCCTAAAATAAAACAAAATCTCCTTATGTAACAGTGGAAACAGTTTATAGAAATGAGAGTGGAAACTTGGGAGAAGTCATCTGATGTCATCATGAATAACTAAGTACTACGGTCCTGTTAACTTTCCTTGAGTTCCTTAAAATGAGAGTTTCAATATTTCTCATTCTTTCTACTGTTTTCTTTTTGCCTTCTTTCTTTCCTATTTCTTTTCCTTTCCCTAGGCTGTCTGTTAAATTCTGTATAGGAAGAATGCAGGACAATGTAGCACCTTAGGGTGTCTGTAGATGTGTGGGGAGGCTGTTCCAATGTGCTGTAACTTTATGCTAATTAGTATGGTCCAGCAGCCTCCATGTCTCCTGTATCAGCATCCCCATACTTCAGAATGGCAGTGGGTGTGCTTTTAACTAAAGCTCATTCAATGAGATTTAGTTAAGGTGCCCCTGCCTCCATTTTGAAGTGTGGGAACGCTGATGCATGAGGCGCTGTGGCTGCTTTAATCAGAGCAGCTTTCAGAGCTACTCTAATTAAAGCGCTCTGAACCACAGCCTGCTGGGAAGGGCCCAGGGTCCTGTGGCTCAGCTTGGGCTGACCTCTCTGCATCTGCCCTCAGCTGGTCCAAGACCAATCCCAGGTGCTGACTTCAGCCCTGTGCTCTGCGTGAGGTGCTTGGGCTGGAACCTGTGTTGTGCACACTTCAGGCAGCACAGGAGGTCAGTGCCTCTCTCTCTAATTCTCAACCAGGATGACTTTAAAGGGTGTTGAGATGCCACATGATGTTAGCAGTGTTAGGTTGACAAACATGATTCACAAGCTAAACCCAGAGATTTTTACATAGGAATCCACAGTTCTGACCTGTTGTAGTTCTGCTGAGTTCTTTTCAATAGATGAACTTTTCTATTTTTTGTTGTCACAACTAAACTGGCATTTTTTGAAGGATACCTTGAGTCTATCAAGGGATGCCTCAGGTCTAAAAAGGCTGAGAACCACAGGTCTGTCTTAAAAAAATTGCAAGTATTTTGTATGTATTGAAGGATATTTTTTTTATTGACTTGTTTGCAGATACACTGAAACTTACAGAGTATTTTGGGTACACAGTGTTGTAAATGGGAGAGATGTTGCAAAAGGAGGCTGTTTTAATATTGTCTTGGCATTGTTTTATTAATCAGTTGTTTTTCTGTGATCTTCTGCTATCACATATGGGTCAGATTCTTCTCTTGGAGATGTAAGGATATGTGCATGTCCCAGAACAGAATGAAAACCAAAAATTATTTGCATGAATTTATCTGGTTGTTTTTACTAACTTATTAATACATAAATGGTTATTCAGAAGGTGAAACAGCAGGTTAACTTGATGTGACATAAATACACAAATACCATAGGTTAAACTAATTCCTAGTTCAGCTCCAATGAAGTGAAAGAACTTATTCTAGGATTAAATGTGATCCTTTGAAATAAGAAAACATAGAACAATGCAAGGTTCTGTGTCTAAAGGCCTGTATTTTATTCACTCATGTAGGCTGACAGGTGGTGCTCTACGAAAACTAACCAGAGTGATGATGTTTTGTAGGGAAAAGAAAATAGTAGGTAAGTGACCTATTTGTTTCGTATGTATACATGAGCACGTGTAACAGGAAAAATATAAAGTGTTTGTTGTTTAAACGTTTTGATACAGATGTTGATTTTGCAGAGAGGAGATAGTAAGCAATCAATCTTATTTCTGATGTGTACTTGCAGTGAAAATGGAAAATTGCTCTTAGGTTAAAATGATTCCTTTTGTAAAGCAGCAGACAGGCAGAAAGAGTGAATGTAGATCACGTGTTTACCTATGAAGTTCATTGTATCATAGAAATGCACTGCTGGATAGCATATACATTTTCTTTTCGAAGTGTGGAAACCTAGCCTATATATATGAATTTCTCACATTTCATTTTGTGGTACTTTGAACATTTTAAGCCAGCTAGCTAAAGCTCTCTCAACTCAAGAAAGTTACAAAATGTGTTTCCTTCTCTTCCATTAATTTCTGATATAAAATGAGGATAGTCATGAAAACTGCAGATAAGTTTAGAATGACAGACTAATCTTGAGCTAGATCACTTTAAGTACAGGAATCCTTGAGGACACAACAGCAACCAGTCTTCTAACTACTCCTGTTGCGCCTTTTTTTGCCCTCTGAAGTGGTGGTTATGAGAAAAGGACAGGACTGGCTGCAGCAAACACTACTGGCCATAAGATTCTGGTTTGAAGTTTATAGGAAACGTGTATATGTACTCCATCTCTGGTGCGCATCTAAAACCCCACCATGTGCCCTGGAAATAACTATTTGACTTTCATATTCCTGTAGTATCTTATTAATTGTGCATTGGAATGTGAAGACTATTTATTCTTACAGGGTGTAACACACTACATGCTGAATATCTGCAATATACTATTCTGAACATAAATGTAATAGTACACGTATTATCAGTGGGAATCTTCAATAGTAGGAAAAATGTATATAACTAATGTAAGAGCACTCAAAATAATTGCTTATGTATAATAAAATACCCAAGTAACTGTGTGACACTGTTGCACTCCTTTGTTTGTTATAATGTAGCTATTTTTGATGTATGCATTAAGTTAATATTTGGGATTTTGGACTTCAGTAGGAAGAGAAATGGATAAAATCATGAAGGTCTGTAGATTGAAAACCCACCTGAAGGAACCCACTGGAATCTCCTAGTATAATAACAGTTTATACCATTCATGCATATGGTCAGAGTCAGGTTTTGTCTGATGTCTTCAGCTGGTGGGTTTGCCGCCAAACGTGCGTGGAGCCCCCCCGCACTCCTGTGGGATGCTCTATCTGCCCCAGCATCACAGTGTTCGCAAGCGAGTGAGATATGTAGAAAAAACATTTAAAGCTATGTCTATGGCCAAATTGCTGATTCTTTGAATCAGCATCAAATCTTCAGATTCGGATTTGTCCAAATTGAATCGGGGACAGTGATCTGAATTAACGAAGTGAATCACTGTCCCCAGTTTGGACCAAATCCAATCTGAATTGAATACGGCCTGTTTCGCACACCCTTAGTGGGTAGCTTCCTTAGGTATGGAAGCTTAAGGGTTTCTGAAACTACTATTTGGGGTATGAAATACAACAAGAATGCTTTTTTTCTTTTTACTTGAGTTCAGGCATATGTCTTATGGTCTTGTTAGAGGACAATCTGGGACAACCTTGTGGCCTATCAATTCAGCTGCCTAATTGTTCATAGCAATCATTGTTGATTGAGAGAATGGCTTTTCCTCCCATCTCTCTTTTGAAGGAGCATTTGTTACTTTCAAACAAAAAATCGTATTCCACTAAGTACAGACATTTGGGGAGATTAATTTGGGTTCAAAATGGCCGCTCGATTTAAACTTAGTTCATCCTGATACTGACCTTACACTTATACACCTGGTCTTAGTAGCCAGCATTCGGTCTAAACCTGTAACTGAACAGAATTTCCATGTACACAAACTGGTCTAAAAATTGCAGAACCTGGTTTAAGTTAGACCTGAATCTATGTTGTATCAGACTTATTTGATTTAGGTTAAACTGGTGCATGGAACTTCTGTACACTTTTCCTGTGCAGCCCTGGGACTAGGAAAACCCAGGCACTGGCCCCAGCCCCAGGGCTGCTCTTTTAATCTCTCCCGTTCTTTTCACCTCTTCCGTGAGCCATTGTTTGTCCCACCCGCCCTGTCCCTTGCTCCACTCCCCTCCTCTCCAGCCTGTCAGCCCTTTCAACTCCCATCTCACAAGCTACTCAGGGTGCAGCCTTTTTAATCAGCATTCACCACTGCCGGAGTTGAGGAACTAAGTCTGGGTAGGGAAGGGGTGGGAGGGATGGGGCTATAGGTTCCCTGGGGAGGGACCCAACCCCACCAGCAGATTGCGCCAGTCCTGTCCACTCCACCTATGGGTTCATAGATTTCATAGACGTTAGAGCTGGAAGGGACCTTGTGAGAACATTGGGTCCAGCCTTCCGCCAAAGGGGTAGAAAGTCAGCTGGGGTTAGATGACCCCAGTAAGGTAAGCATCCAGGCATTTCTTGAATGTATCCAGAGTAGGTGCTTGCACCAGTTCTGTCGGGAGTCTGTTCCAGACTCTGGAGACTTGGATGGTAAAGAATTTTTTCCTTATGTCCAGTCTAAAACAGTCTTCCAGCAGTTTGTGACCATTAGACCTCGTCTTCCCTTGGGGTGCCCTGATGAACAGACGCTCTCCCGGTTCCTGATACACACCCCTTGTATACTTATAGGCTGCCACCAAGTCCTCTCTGAGCCTTCTCTTCAGGCTGAGGAGTCCCATGCCTCTCAGCCTCTTCTCATAAGGCCTACTCTCTTGACCTCTAATCATGCACGTGGCTCTCCTCTGGACTCTCTCAAGCTTCTCCACGTCTTTTCTAAAGTGTGGAGCCCAGAATTAGATGCAGTACTCAAGTTACAGCCTTACCAATGCTGAGTAAAGAGGGAGGATGACTTCTTGGGCTTTGCTTGAGATGCATTGGTAGAGGCAAGCCAGAGTTTTATTTACTTTGCTGGCTGTGGCATTGCATTGGTGGCTTATGTTCATCTTGTGGCTCATGTCCACCCTCAGGTCATGCCTTTTCCATACTCCTTACAGGTCATGCCTCTCCCCTCATCATTTGGCAGACCCCCTAACCCTCCTGCTACCCCCACTCCTGCTTTACCTGATATCAGGCAGCCATTTTGAATTGATTTAACTTCCCCCTACCATCCCCAAATGTCTGTACTTAGCCTTTGTGGCAGTTGGAATACAAACATACTCAAGTATTAAAGGTTTCTCTATCATCATCAAACACTCCGCCTTATCCTGTTTTTGCCTTGCATTTCTGCTTCCAGCCTATATGTTTAGGGTTCTAGTATTTTACAAATTCATGATTTTTTGCTGCTGCTGTTCTGAATCATACCTTCTACTGCACACCCCCAGGCTCTGCTGAACTTGTCTTTGTCAGCCAGTGGCCTACAAGGGAAGTGGGATTAATTTCAACAATATGGGAGGAGTTATGTGGCTGGTCCAGGAAATGTTGCAGTGCTAAAAATTAACTTAGAAGTACCAGACTTCTAAGCCATATTGACAGCCAAGAGACCGGTATAATCCAAGTGCTGTAACAAGCAGTACTGAAGGCGATGGTCATATCCTGATGCTTCAATGGGTGACTATTATTTATCTTCTGTTGGGGCTGATTATGAAAGTTGGGAGTTCTTTGAACAAACTGAGGGGGAGGGCTTTGAGGGTGTAACAATCTGAAACGGCGAATGATTTTTCTAGGTCTTTGGATTTGGCAACTACGATGGTTCAGTAATTTGGACATGAAATGAGAATCACACTCAATTTAGTGCTTACTCTGCTCCAGCCTTCATTTCTTCAAGTTTCCATTTGTGCTTTCTAACTCAGGCATCTATCTCTTCAGTGGGAGGAATATAAACTGAAACTTTGTTTGATCAGATATTTTAGCTTTCTCACTTCTTCCTTGGAACAAGATACCACATAGTCATAGCACCTGCATCTCTTCAATTCATTTTTTTTTGCTAATAGCTATAAAATGTGGTATAGTTTGTGCTGTTTCTGTTTCCTATTGTATTTCTCTTTGCTACAACCATTTAACTGTATAGACTCTACTCACTGGCAAGCATGCTTATCTTGAAAGTCTCACAATGTGAATGCTGTTTTTTGCAGAGTTCTGTAAACTTTGTAAAAGTGGTATTTTGCATTGTTTGGGATCACCACATCTCTTGCTGTCCAAGTCCTGGAGATGGTTTTATATTCAAAATGCAGAACTTTTAACAACTCAGAATTCATTTGTGTTTCCGTTATGAAGACAAGAGTCCTTTTGAAAAATTTAGATCTAGGTTTGAATTTATTTCACTTCTGATATTTGAGATGTTCAGATCTAGAATTCTGGTTTAGTCTAATCTTTATTAACTTTTTGTAGCAAGCCAAAAAATCATCCAATAGAATTCCTACACTTCCTAAAAAAATAAAAACAAAATCTGTTCAGGAGATGTAAGCAGTTATGTAGAAATTGAATTATTATATCAGGGTGTTTTTTTCTGTAAATTTTTTTGGCTGTAGTTTCAAGGACACAGCATTCTGGATGGAAGAATATTTACCAAACAGATTGTTAAAGCAAAACTTTAAAATCCCAGTTTAACCAATTGCCTGCTGTTTAATATACTGCTTTAGGTACATATTGCAAAATGCCCATACAGTGGTGCGGACTGGTTGAACTGCTAGCATAGTGTTGCTGTGCACTGCTGTTGAGTTAATGGTGTATAGCAAAGGGTTTTATGTATGTAGAAACAGTCTCACCTGTGGCAAAATCAGATGCACTTTGCAAAAGTGAATAAAATTAGTTCAGTTTATGATAGCATAAGAGTGATGTTATAGCCATGGTCCAGAAATTATGCAAGAGGCAAGGATTTCTTAGGATGATATCTTTTTTTGGACCAACTATATAGTTGGGATTAAGTTACACAGCCTAAAAATTATTACCTTTGTACAGTCTTCTTACGTCCTAGGATGATTTTATTGGCCGTTTTCTCTTTGGTTTCTGGAATGCTATTCACACCCCAGAGCCTGAAAAGTGTTCTCCCCCTCCTGGAATCGTTCTCCCCCTCCACCAGTACACATTGTTGAAGTCTTTTGGGCCCCCTTTCTAGGTGCGTTTCTAAGAGATCAGGAAGGTACCTCCTCTTTAATGTAGGAACTTACAGTTCTTGATCCCAGGGATCTTCTCCTTTCCAATGACTGTTTCAGGTATTTTGAAATGGTCTCTTTCTGCATTAAAAGGCTAATACCTCATTGCAGACAGAAAACGTATTTTGTGAGGCAGCAGAAGTATTGCCAATGTCAAGTATTAAAAAATTATGCCTCGGAAAGCTCCAAAATTAAGAAATTGGATTGAAAAATAAAGAGATTTTTTTAAAGCTGGGTTCTCTTTTTTCTTTCCTAAGTTTTCTGTCTCCAGGGTTCATGTTTTCAATCTTTTCTTTGCAAGTAGAAGGATTAGAAATGCAAGTGTTTTTCAAATGAAAACTGAGATTCTCATGTGTCCTTATGACCTCAACACCTGGAACTTCTAGAAACATATCATGTTGCAAGACTCATGATAAACTTATGATGTTTCCTAGCTGCGCATCTGACACTTTCTAGAGCAGTGTTTTAATTTTTTAAAATTAAAAATACGCACATATTTTTCTAAGATAAGGCATTTTACACCAGTCTGAAAAGCATTTATTTCCGTTCCTTAGTTATTATTCCCCATGCTGTAAGAACTCCTTCTTCATTTTAATTGACTTTTGTTTTATGCTTTGTACAATTTACCTCTGCCACTTTGTTGTGGAAATGCATAACATCCTGGTAGAACAACTTGAAATGCAAATGCAAGTGTGTGTTAGGCATGTGAATCAGTATTTTACCCCTTGTCCCTGCTCCTCAGAAAAAATCACATTGAAAGCTTTAGTAGGTCTGGTGCATTGTTGCTGCGATGGTCCAGGAAATGTAGGAGAGACAAGGATTTTTAGTGATATCTTTTAATGGACCAGCTATATAGTTAGGGGAGCTGTTGGACAAGTGTTTGGGCATCAAGTACCCTTCCTCAGATCCTAAACAGTATGAAGGGAGGTATTGCACTGATCATATTCCTTTGTCAATTGGACATGCTTGTCTAGAAGTGCATAAGGTTGCTTGCTATGTCTTTCACTCAAGTAATGAGGATGTGGTTTCATGCTTGCCTGCTGCTCTGAGAATGAGTCTTCTATGCCCTTTGTATTCCCAGTGAAAATGCAATCTCACCAGTATGTTAGGGCTTACTAGTCAAAGATTAACTTTCACAGAAAAAAATTGAAGGACAGACACATGCGCACACTCTTAGGGGCATGTTTCTCACAGAACACCCACTCCCTCTCTGATCTCACTGTCCTCATGTTCAAGGGCTTAACACCTTTAAAAGGCAAACTTAGGAACAAAAATTCATAAGCTGGCTAGACACTAAGAACCAAGGACTAAATGTTGGTATTGGTTTTATGGCACATTATATTTAGCCCAACTCCTGAATTCCTTCCACATAGGAAAGGTGAGAATGACCTCCTCTTTTTTGATAGGCCTTGATCTCCCAGTAAGTAGTAGGCCTGTGTGAAGTGGCTAGTATTTGCTTTGGATTTAGCCAATTCAGAGAACAGTGATTCAATTTTGTGATTTGAATCACTGTCCTGATTTGATTCAGCCAAATCTGATTCGGAGATTTGGCTGGTACTGAATCTCTGAATCACCCAGACCCACCCCCCGCCCACTCTCCCAGCCTGGCAATGACTGCCCCGTCCACCTGGAAACAACCATCTCAGACACATGTATAACAGGGAATTGTCTAAAGGGCCTGAAAATTGCTTTTAAAGAGGTGACATATAGTAAGACTTTGGTATACTGGTCAATCCCATAGCCAGTTAAGTGCTGTTTCTGTCCTGATTACAAATATTTTCATTATCTTTTAATTATTATGGGTTTTTTCCCCCCTATTTTTCAGAGGAGGAGCGGAGAGTAAAAGCCAATGATCGTGACTATAATGAAAAATTTCAGTATGCGGTAAGTTGCCATTATAATGTTGCATAGTAATGGGCATATACTTACAGTTTGTTTGAGTTACCTTGTGGAAATCTGTGAAAGGAAAGGTTAAATAGTTCTCTATTTCCATGAATTAATTTTAGGGAAACAATTCCCTTGTTTGTTAATGGCAGTTGCATTATAATGGAAAGAAGGATCCAAATGTGTATTGGTATCACCCGAGGAAGGATTGATATTTGGATTTAATCTTAAACATGAGCCTGCTGTCACTAATATTTTGTTAGTACCAGGGGTGGGCAAAATACTGCCCGCCAGGCAATTTCATTTGGCCCACAGGTGGGTGCCTACGAATTCACTGTATCTGGCCTGGTCCTGGGCTGCCCCTTCTGTGCTTGAATGGGGCTGAGCCCCGCTCACTCCCATGGGGGAGCATGGGGCCTGCACCAGTGCCCTGAGGCCGGGGAGACAGGAGTGCGGAGCTCGAGTTGGTGGGTGCTCAGGGTCTGCCTGGCTCACATCTTGTGGGGCTCACATGCAGTTCCCGGGTTCTCTGCCCTACCCTCACGCCTCTGAGGGGAGCCCCGCATGATGAAGCCAGCAGCCCAGCCCCAGTCACTGCTACATGCTATGGAGCCAGGCCAGCTCTGCCCCTTTCTCTGCTGCCCCAGTCAAGTTCAGTGACCTGCACTGCCAACTTCATCATGTGGGGCTCCCCCCAGCAGTGTAGGGCTTGGGCACATGAGCCCTACATGATGGAGTCAGCAGCCTGGCCACATGCAGTCCTGGGGCTCACTGGGATTGTGTGCTGTTGGGGGGCCCTGCCTGCTGCTACCACTGGTGGCAGGGGCTGTGCGCAATAGGGAGGTGTTTATAGGGGAGACCCTCCACACACTCCACCATACACACGAACCCCCACACACCTCCCCAGCCACCTGCCTCCACACACCCACAACCCTCATACCCATCCACATCCATATGTGGACCCGGGAAACTATAGGCCAGTTAGTTTTACCTTGATCCTAGGCCAGCTGTTTGAGAAAATTATTCTGGCACACATCCACGAGGGGCCAGCAGGGGACT